CATCAGACACAAGTATTAACTAAAAAAAATAAACTATGAAAATTACTGTCTAAAGCAAGTTTAAACTAAGAATCTTTTATTGCTAGTTTTCCTACTGATCCTAAAAGATGAAGTATTTGGATATCAGCTCTTGGATTTCAGGAAGGATACGAATTCCAAAAACTGGTAGAAATACCTATGTTCAAATCACTTTAACCAAAATCATTTTGAATATCGAGATGATGGAAGTAAATATTTGAAACGGGACTACAGCGTACCGAAACGGCAATATCATCAACCGATAGGGACGGTTCAGTTCACGCTAAAGTCAGTTTAAAATTAAGTCATCCGATGAAGAAGATGCTGTTGTTGTCGCTATTTTGTGTGCAGAAGCAGAAAAAGACGCGAAAAAGAAAAGGAAATATTGGCTACATAACATATGTAAAAAAACGTAGAGTTGAAGGCGAGTTCTATCCGCTATTTCCCGATCTCATCGATGATGAAATTAAATTTCATCAATACTTCCGGATGCCACATAAAAATTTATAAATTTGTCAGAAATACGTGTACTATAGTCTATACGTGTATGCTAATAAATATGTATTCATATCAACCAGACTTAGGTTTTTTAGGGTATATTAGTCTATAATCGTATAAAAATTGCTTATTTTGATCGGTCGCTATCGCCCACTAATCGGAAACGGACTGAACGGTAGCGTACCGCAGCGCGGAAATAGTGCGGCGCGCTCTAGTGAGCGACAACCTTTATTCTGTATTTCATCCTCTAGAACGTACAAGATATCCATTCTTTTTATCCTTTTTTCTCATAAAGAAAATAATTTAACCACTTACCACTGAATATTTATTATGTCAGGCGCAAATTGTCATTGAAGTTGTTATTATTAATTTATTTTTTTAAATTAGAGATAAAATGAAGAATGGCTTTACTCTAGTACGATGTCACTGAATAGAAGACGCGACGTGAATACAGAGACACCAAAATATGAAAAAAAACATTGGTTTTGTAATCAATAAAATACGGTTTTATGTAATTTTGGAAAAATTGAAATTAATACCTATGATGTTTCAGTAACATATTTTATAATCAATATAGTGTAAAAATTATGTAATTATACGAAGAATCTAGCCTTTAAGAAGAATTTAAGTTCTATTTAACCCCAAACAGATTATATGATGCGCATATGGTTAATTTAAAATATGTGGAACATTCTTCGACATTATTATCCCCTCCCTTGAATCCCTTTCCCTTCACCATCAAGTAATGTTGTCAAGTAAACAATAACTCTATTTATGAATGACTAACGTAGTCTGTTTTATATTGGAAGTCTGAAGTCTGTGGTAGAAAGTATAGCATTTTAAATTTTTATAATGTATTACAAAAATAAAAATAAAATTCAAACTACTGTAGTTTTAATAGACAGTATAATTTGTCCATTTAATTTGAAATTATTGGAAAAATTTAAATTTATTTTATGAGAAATAAAAATCAATTTCACAAAAACTAAAGAAGCCAATCTGAACATTCCTAGGTGAAGCACATAACTTTTTTCACAAATTGCAATATCACTCTCCTTCTACAAAAGTGTAATCACATCTCCATCTTCATCTTCATCATCTAGTGGTTGGTCCTTTAAAAGTCCCATAGCACTGCGGCCTAATTAGGCCTATTGTGCGTCCCACTACTAGTCCTATTCAGCAAGTAGATTTGTCCTTTTTACAAAGTCCAAAAGCTTCCTTGCTGACACTTCTCTCAGCTCCTTGGGTTCCAAATAGGGTCTCCCAAGGAGCGTCATTCTGCTACGTGCAAATCCCGGGCACTCGCCCAGGATATGCAGAGAAGTTTCATCCGCCGATTCACATCCTCGGCAGACCGGACTGTCTACAAGCTTTAGTCTATGTAGATGTTTCTTAAAGTGACAGTGTCCCGTTATGAGTCCTGTCACTCTCCTGAGCCGGATTCTGTTCAAGCTCAGTAACTCAATCGCTCTTCCATTCGAAGGATACTCCATAAGCTCCTTGGAATGGCTATGTCCTGGCCTTGAAGTCCAGTATTTCCTATGTTCTGTCTCTGTCCATTTGCCCACAGCCCGCCCGACCACACTGGGAGATGTGCCACAGAAGGGCTCCGGGCCAATGAACACTGTTTCGGATCCCTTCCTCGCAAGTTCATCCGCTTTCTCATTTCCACAAATGCCTTTGTGCCCTGGCACCCAACACAGTCTGACTGTATTGTTGGTGGCCAGTTCAGTTAGCATTTGTAAACAGTCCCACACCAGTTTTGAACTTACCTTGTGTGCGGCTAAAGCTTTAATTGCAGCTTGACTATCAGAGAATATATATATGAGTTTACGTCTATAACCTCTACGTACATTCTCTGCCAGACACGCCATTATTGCGAAGATTTCTGCTTGGAATACAGTAGGGAACTCCCCCAGACTGTAGCTTGCACTCCATCTGGGTCTGAGTCCATATATTCCTGCACCCGTCCCTCTGGTCATTTTGGAGCCATCTGTAAACCATACTAGGCTCCACCTTTCCAGGGTATTAAACCTTTCCTCCCACTCGCTTTGATCCTCTATTCGAGTCTCAAATGGCTTGTGGAAGTGAAACTTTGGAACCATCTTGTCGGATACCATCTCAAGAATTGGTTCCGACATAGATGTATCTTTGATCCTGGAGTGGGAACCACCCCTCCAGTCATTATTATTCCTGAGTCGATATGCTGCTAGCCGCGCTTCTCTCTCCACCACTATATGCAGCGGTGGCAGATTTAGCATGAATTCTAGTGCAGCTGTCGGGGTCGATGCCATCGCCCCCGTTATACCTAAACAGGCCAATCTCTGAATTCTATTCAGTTTTTCCTTCGCTGTGGTCTGTTGTGTTTTCTGCCACCATACCACCGCGCCGTAAAGAATCCTGGGTCTTACTATCGACGTATACAACCAGTGTAACATCTTTGGTTTCAGTCCCCAGGTTTTCCCAATAAGGCGGCGGCATACACACAGTGTCTGCTTCGCCTTACTCACCACTTTTTCCAAGTGCGCATTCCAGGTAAGCTTATTATCCAGTATCACTCCTAGATATTTTACTTCCCTGGAAAATGTAATGCCCCTCTCCCCTATTATAGGTTCAGAGAGTCCAGTTAAATTTCTTCTCCTAGTGAAGGGTACTACGACCGTTTTGTCAGGGTTTACTGACAGTGCCTGCCCCTTACACCAGTCATCTATCCATTTCAAAGCCTCTTTCATGAGTTCTGAAACGATAATATTATGTTTCCCGACTATGAGAACGACCAAGTCATCCGCATAGCCTTGTGTATAAAACCCCTTTCGATTAAGGCCCTCCAGTGCGCCGTCCACCACTAATCCCCATAACAAGGGAGACAGTACGCCTCCCTGGGGGCAGCCCCGGCCTACCTTACACCTGGATGTCTCTCCCGAAAGGGTAGCTGTTACTGTCCGGTTTCTCAACATGGTATCTATCCAACGACACAAAGTGTCTTCAAGGCCCCTGTTGCGAACTGCCGAATTAATAGATTCGAAAGGTGTATTGTCAAATGCCCCTTCAATATCTAAAAAAGCTGCCAAAGCTAGATCTTTGTCGTCCATTGCCCTCTCTATCCTAGAGACTAGGCTATGAAGGGCTGTGTCGACTGATCTGCCTGCCTGATAGGCATATTGGTACCTGTGCAGAGGATTTGCCCTCAATACCCCGTCCCTTATATGCCTGTCAACTATTCTCTCCAACGTTTTCAGGAGGAAAGATGTTAAACTTATCGGGCGATATGCCTTTGCCTGGGCATACGATGGACGCCCTGGTTTAGGAATAAACGCCACGTTCGTCGATCTCCATGCCAGCGGTATATAACCAAGTGCAATGCTGGCTCTGAAGACGTGAATTAAGACCGGAGTTAGACATTCCACCCCCTGCTGTAGCAGTACAGGTAGGATTCCATCGGCTCCTGGTGATTTAAATGGGTCAAAAGAACTTATTGCCCATCTTATTCGTGACTGACTCACCACCGTCTTGGCAACCTCCCAGTTCTGTCGAGACCCGGTCGTTACCCTCTGCTGGTGATTCCAGTCATATTCATCTCCATGTTTTAATAACCTGGAGCCTGGAAAGTGAGTATTTAGAAGTAATTCCAATGTCTCCCTTCCAGTTTTGGTATATTCCCCACTCGGTGCTTTGAGAGACCCGAGTTTTGTATGTCCGTTCTTAGAGAGAAGTCTCTGGAGTTTAGCACACTGTGGGACACTATCAATATCCTCACAGAACTTCCTCCATGAGTCTCTCTTCGCTTTTCTAATTTCTTTATTATACTCAGTGAGGGTTGCTCTATAAGTCTCCCACTCTCCTGTCCGCTTTGCTCTATTAAATAGTTTTCTTGTCTGTCCCCTCAACTGCGTGAGTTCCTTGCTCCACAAGGGTACGGTGTGCTTATCGGACCTCACTTTGATAGGACAGCTGTATTCATATGATCTTGTGACGGCGTTTTGGAGTTCCTCCACGGCCCTCTCAAGATCATATGTGTTCCTTAGTTTTGTACAGATTTCCCTAGTCCTGGCCTGTAACTCCGTTCTATAGGAGTCCCAGTCAGTTCTTTTTGGGTCTCTGTAGGTTCTTACTTGCGGATTATAATCCGTTATAATTTCAAAGTGGATATGTCTATGATCCGACATTGACGGCTCATTCGACACATGCCACCTCGCAGTATTATTACATATCGGTCCCGATCCCACTGTTATATCGATGACTTCACTTCTGTTTTTTATAACAAAGGTGGGCTCGTTCCCGACATTCAAAATCTCTAGATTATAACTAAAAAGAAAATCTAGTAAAGACTCACCTCGATCGTTGACATCGCTGCTTCCCCACACCGTATGGTGTGAGTTAGCATCACATCCCACGATGAGTTGTTTCTTCTCCTTCTCGCACCAGGCCACCAGGTCCCTCAGTTCCCTGGTTGGAGGAGATTCTTTCTTATCGTAGGGGAGGTACGCTGAGCAAACTACCAGTTGTCTCTGCGTTCCCTCCGATACATAAGTCACTTCGGCCGCCACCAGGTCATCCGTGCAGAACCCTGGAAGAGGAAAAATATTAATACTGCTCTTGTAATAAATACAAGCTCTAGGTCTAGTTTGGTGGCCACAATACAGTAAGCCACCATTACTTACCTGCAATCCTCTGATCCGGGATCCATGTACCCAAGGCTCCTGGATCAAAGCTAAATCCGCATTTACGCGCGCCACACTGGCACAGAGAGCAGCAGATGCCGCTCTACTGTGCTGAATGTTCGCTTGTATTACCTGGAATTTGACCAGATAATACAGATTTTGGTCCCTCCTGATCTTCATCAGAAGGTCCCAAATCTACCCTGCCCTTCTCCAGGTTCCTAAAAAGGACCCTGGTGAAGTTCAGAAATGGTCTGAAGCCCTCCTTCTGAAGTACCTTCACACTCATCTCATCTACTGAGAGGACTAGGGTCTGGCCCTTCACCTCAACCTTGCGGTTGATTAGCCTCCAGGCCCCCGTCCTCAATTCCCCGTTCTGGTTTTCCAGACGGCGCATGATGGTTTCCGGTTCATCAGGATGACCCGGAATCCACACGATGAACTTAGTGAACTTAGGTAGGTCCCTAGGCTCAACAGCGCTGAGTCTAGCCCCCTCCCAAGGCACCAAGCTCGCCGTGGTCATCTTCAGCCATTGCAGGCTCTCCTTGTTGAAGGCGGTGATCGCTAGCGTAATAAAGTGTAATCACAGTATATAGATAACCCCAATGTTTCATTTGGGTCCCAAATCTGGTTTTGGGATATAGCATACCTAAAATCGCACAGCCACTGTTCGGGATTAAAGCAAATGTTCAAATACGTTACCATTAATTTCTATACACAAATTTACACGTTCGATAAATGAGTGACGGATATGATTAATAGTACATTGTGTAACTAGTGGGGAAAAGTTGCCAATAGCGCCACGCGGACGCAGTTGACGCACGAGAGAAGCGAGTGCGGAAAGCGCCCAAGTGGCGCTATGGCAACTTTTCCGAACGAGTTGCACATACTATTTTCTATCACAAGTGCGAGTCGTTATGGGACCTATAGCATAGGGGGTTAGTTGCACGGAAAGTGCTGGATAGTACAACAGCGTGATGTTATTTTCATAGCGCAACGCTCGAGCGTTGCGCTATGAAAATAACATTACGTTGTTGTACTATCTAGCACTTTCCGTGCACCGAACCTCCTACACTATAGGTCTCATAGCGAGCGCGCGTGATAGAAAAAAATAGGATGAATATTACGTAATTGTTTAGCGACATTTTCAATACGTTGACGCAACTGCTGTATATCTTCCACCTCGCTATTATAAACGACAGTCCATACCACTATATTAAAGTCTGGATGTGTTGAACTTTGATTTTGAAATCAATTGCACAATTCAAGACGACTGGTTAACAGCAGGAAACAATGTGGTAGTTTTGAATATTGTATTATTATTCATGTGGTTCTGATGTGGCAACGCTGTTTCGTTTCAATTTTAGAGCGCTTTGGGACATTATGACTGAATCATCCTCTATATGTCTCAGTTCATTTTGTCAAATGTAGAAAAATGTCTAGTGTTTGTATATATTCTTATTTTTAGTGTGTGAGGAATTGAATTAAAATTTTACATTTTCCGCAAGTACCGTTTCAGACAAAATCTAAAATGCCTCTTAATTTCGCTCTCAGCAGTAAAAAGGTAAATAAAAAATCTCCAGCAATTTAATGCCTTCAAATGATACTCTCGATCTTTCCGGATTCCCCCCTAATCAAATGCCACTACTTCCTTGGTTAATTTACTTTTATGTCAGCCATTAAGCCGCGGCTTATAAGATTTTTCGTAGGATGACATCCAGTGCTGACTTAGAGAAAATATTATCCACATAGTATTAGCCATAACTTTCGGACAATATGCTATCAAGCACAGCGTACCAGACTTATATCCTACATCACGTGTTTAATGTTGATATTAAACTACCTTAGGTAACTGAGAGCGGAGAATGGAATATATCACTAACAAATTTGCTATTCAAAAACGTGGGATTTACGGTTCATCCATTTTGTTTAGTTCAAATGTGAGTAAATTTTTATAAACTTTTACGTTCCTAGTTTCTTTCAGATTTCTGAAAAAATAATGATCAGTGTTTAGGTACAATTTCACTGTAGAAAATGACTGTCACAAAATTTAGCCGTGGTAAATAAATTAACTTTATTTTTTTGTTTCTTTTTAATTAAGTTACTCTTTGCATAAATCATTAAAAGTTTGCACTTCAGTATGATACCCTTTATTTCCTTAATATAAAAGAAATTTAAGATCGATAGGATTTAAGAGATCATGGTATCTGTTTGGTGCATGCAAGATAGACAGTAAAACAATCTAAAAGTCAGCAACCCATTCGAACAAACACGGTCACTTTGTAACTATTGTCATACTGATATTAATGAAAAAAATACAGTTCCCATTTCTTTTATTTGTATAAAGAATCATAAGAAGAAAAAAAGTGATATTTGTTCACAAGTCACACAGGGCTTGCAATAGATTGGTCCTACGAACCGAGCTGGAATCATATGCAGATGCATGTAATCCAGTACTGTGAGTCGTACTAGAATTAGCAACGTATTTATTTGTGCTCGGAAGTATAAAATCATATTGGTTGGTTGATAAAATAAAAACATTTCAAAAATAAATAGTAGCAAGGTATTTTGCGAATTTGTGGTCATTGGCATAAATAAAATACATAAAATGGAAGAATAGAAGCAACTTAGCTTAAAGCGAGGTCAATTGACTAGATTTGCGGGGTTTGTTACCAAATTCAGCGAAAACAAAATAGCATAGTTACAAACGCGCTTGGAAAACGTAGAGTTATTACTAGGGGAGTTCAACGATGTTCAAATTAAAATGGAAGAGTTAAACGAAGAAGAATTAGAGTCAGATTCGAGGGAACAATTTGAAACTTTGTTTTATGAGACAGTTTCAGCGGTTAAAGAAGTTATAGATAGGTGTATTCCGAAAGTGAGACCTCAATCGCTAGGGGAGATAGGGTCAAATAATTTAAATAACAATAATTTGTCAAGTAATGCGAGTAATGGGCAGGAAGTAAATTTGCCAACAATGAATTTGCCAAAGTTTTACGGAGACTACCAACAGTGGTACAAATTCGCGAAAAATTTTATATCGATGGTTCACAATAATAAAAAATTAGATAATGAGCAAAGATTTTTATTATTTGATGGATTGTATAAAAGGTGAAGCTGAGGAAGTTTTAAATTAATTGGACGCATTAGATGATAATTATTTAAAAGCGTGGGAACTTTTACAAAATCGGTACGAAAATAAACCAGTCATAATTCAAAGTCACTTGAAGGCATTGGTCGATATGCAACCATTAAATAAAGTGGATTCAGTTGTAGCATTAAGAACGTTACTAAACGGTTTCAGTCGACATTTTATGGCATTAAAATCATTAGGAGAACCAGTAGATACTTGGGATCGAATTTTGATTTTGATTATGTCAAGAAAGGTTGACTCAAGAACAAAAGATTCGTGGGAAGATTATCAATTAGCAAATTGTAATGGGCTACCAACAATAGACGATTTTACCAAGTTTTTAGCGAATAGGTGTCAAAAATTAGAATCGATTGAAATTAATAACAAGCCTTTGAGGTTTGAAAATAAGAAAGATGGGAGAGTATGTAAGGGTTTGCACCATATTTATCAATGTAAAGATTTTTTGGAGTGTTATCACGAATTTAAAAAATAAGAGAGCTTAAGTTGTGCATGAATTGTTTTCGATCAAATCATTTTGTCAGCACTAAGGGTTGTAGACCATGTGGAAAAAAGCACAATAGTTTATTGCATATAAATAAGGAATCTATAAAATACGAAAACTCGTAAACGAAGAAAGGCAGGTACATCGAGATAGTGGACCAAAGGGTCAATGCACTCAGGCGAATTTTAGTTAAAATTGCGGATAGTAACGGGCGGTTTCAGGAGGTGTGCTGTTTGTTAGATAGCGGCTCTCAGTCGTTGTTTATAAACAACAATCTTTTGAAAAAACTAAATTTAAGAACAAAGAAAATTGATCTGCCTGTTTTACCTTTGCAAAGAAAATAACATATTGGTTTATCATTTATCAATTAATCAGAATCAATTAGAAAGGTTTTGGGCAATCGAGAAATGCGAACCAGAACAAAATATTATTTCAAACGAATATTTGCAATGCGAGGGCGATTTTGTGCATAATATAACTAGAGATGCTTCTGGCAGATTTGTGGTAAATTTGCCATTGCGCCGAGACGTCGGATATTAGGTGAATCGTTAAATATTGCAAAGAAAAGGTTCGAAACGTTGGAGTAAATTGAATAAAATGCCTGAGTTTAAAGAAAAATATTGCGAATTTATGAATGAGTACCTTGAAATGGGGCATATGACAAAGCTAAACCCAGGTGAAATTGATTTAAATCACGAAATAAACAATCTAATATTCTATTTGCCGCGTCATGGGGTAGTAAATCAATCGAGTGCAACTACAAAATTAAGAGTAGTTGTTGACGGTTCGGCTAAAACGTCAACAGGAATATCATTAAATGAAATTTTAGGAGTAGGTCATACAATTCAAGACGATCTTTTCACAATTTTGATCAGATTTTGAAAACATAATATGATAATTACAGTTGGTATAACAAAAATGTATAGGATGGTAAATGTAGCCGAAAGTCAAAGGGATTTACAACGAATAGTTTGGAGATCGGATTCCAAAGCGAACTTAGATCATTTCCGGTTAAACACCATAACGTATGGGACAGGTTCAGCCTCCTTCTTAACTACTAGATGCTTAAAGCAAATAGCTGACGATGTACCAGTCGACACACCAGTAATTAGTAAAATAATCGCGAAGGATTTTTACATGGACGACGGCTGAATCGATTGAACAAATTGGGAAAGAAGTTGTAAAAACTTTAAGTGAGTATGGTTTCTTATTGCGAAAGTGGGGTTCCAATGCGGAATTAAGCTATTATATAACCGATGACGATAGTAGAAAAACCTTAGGGGTATTTTGGAATGCCGCTAAGGACGGGTTACAATATGTAGTCAATACCGATCCTTTACGGGGTGCCATAAGGAAATGTAACATATCATCAATAATATCTAGACTTTTCGAGCCTTTATGGTTAGTCCGACCAGTAACAATTAGAGCCAAATTTATCTTGCAATGTTTATGGTTGCTAAAGTTAGAATGGGACGAATCAATTACTCTAGATTTGTTCACATTATGGAAGGAATTTCACGAGCAGTTATCATTGTTAATCCAAATTAAAGTTCCTAGACGAGCAAGCAGTAAAAAATTGATGTTCAATTGCACACGTTTTGTGATGCATCTCAAAAGGCTAGTAGTGCTTGCATATAAGCAAGTAGGGTCACGTACCATCTAGTCAAAATCCTGCTGATCTGATTTCTCGGGGGGGTCAGTCCGGAAGAATTAAAAAATGCTAAGATTTGGTAGCGCGGTTCTGAGTTCTTGGCAAAAATCGAAATTATTGGCCTAGTAAATTTAAAAGCGATCACGAAACGCCTGAAAGGCGGAAGGTTGAAACTTCTTTAGTAGCATTAAACACGGACATGTTTATTTATACTAGATTTTCTTCCTTACATAAACTTCTGAGAA